CTGCACTGCAGATGCAATTTGAGATACCACCAACACCTTCTGCGCAACCGTCATCCCGCGGTTGATGGCATCGTTAAGTTCAAAGCCGTGGTTGGTAAATCGAAGGACCGTAAGATTTCGAGGCTGGTTAAACACAATGTCACCTCGAGCATTCATAATGTGCGGATGGTTTGCAAACAGAACTGCCACCCGGTGCTCGTGCGTAGCGCAGGAGGCTACATCAGCGCCTCCCCTGTACAACTTAACCACCATGCTGCGGTACACACGAACGGTCTTGTGTCCGTTCTTAAACTCGTTGAGCAGATACTTTGGTGCATAAATATTGGCATCTGAGTTCGATAGGTCACCGCTAGGTGTGGTGCGTTGAATTGGCGTGCACGGCGGGGTAGGGGTAGTGGCGCCGGTCCGTGGGCTGCGACGGCGCTCCTTGATCTGGGAAATGGCAACGGCTAAGGTTAACGGGCCGCCGCATCCAATCATATTATTATCGGGAGTAAACATACTGGCTTTCTAGAAAGAGAATGCGGTTAGGGTAGAATACTTTGACTGGAATATTCACTCGGACTACCTTTTTTCCCTGTCTCGATTACTATCTTTGCAAATCAATATGTGATCGTTCAAGGGCTTGTGTGAGCTGCTTTTATACGAAAAACCCCTTTTTTTGCGCATCGATTAGGGGTGGGTCGACGGATTGGGGCTGAATGGTGAACCGTGGTGTTACCTCCCGGCCGCGACGCGCGGGCTAGCGGGAGCCTCTATAAAATGACAACACCCAAGCAGAGTTGAGTTTACATTACCTCTGCAACAAGTAAGTGTACTGATATACAAGCAAAGACATAGCGACAACGACGCAAAGGTTACAATGGACGCTACTAATATCCACCCACCCGCATCTGAACAGGAGGATGACGAAGAGATATCCCGAGTTCTCGAAGAGAGTATGTGGGACTATCACCAGAGCTTGAATACGACCTTGCTCGCATCGTTCGACGAGGATGACGGTGATGTCCCGCAAATCCCTTCCACCCTAGAGCCGTCCTTGTCTGTTAGCGAGGAAATACGTACTGCGACCACCACTGCTTTGCAAAAGCGAGAGCGCACCGAGAGCAGCACTACGGTGGATATCGTTGGAATTCGTGATCGCATATTCACCTGTGGTATATGCGTTGCCGTGTCGGAGACGGTAAGAACCACATCGTGCTGTGTGTTTACCATGTGTCACGCGTGCTTGGAACAACTGACCCGAAACGTTTGCCCCAACTGCCGAGCGGACCGACCAGTGCTAGTCCCTAATCCAATGGCTAGGAATCTACTACAGGTATTCGAGTATCCCTGTGATGCATGCTCTGTAACTCTGAATCCCGTTACCAGTACCACTCACGTGTGTAACGTACGACCAAGACTCATGCGGGGTAACGGACGTCGTGAAGCTCGGCCGGAATTCCTTTGGCAAAAGGTACTACTAGAGTGTGAGAGGCTTATTGTAAGCCGTCCGTATTACATCGTTCAAGGTATGGACGTTGTTGACTTGGTGCGGAACCTACACTTGATCTGGGGTGAGT